TGCGTTGTCGTGATGAAACAGCACATCCCTTCGAAGTTTCCCTCTCCTTTTCTCTTTGAAGGCATTCCTCAACTTGGGAATTAAAGCTGCATAATATTGGCCTGTAATAGTGGTTCCACGCTCAGGTAATCAATCAACAGTATCCCTTCTGAGTCCCAAAATATTGAAGCCATAACCTTGCCAGCAGATGCCACGGCACGAAACTTCTTCGGGGTCGGTGATGATGATGACGATTGCGAAGATTGCGTCCATTGTTACGAAACGAGATAAAAAAAAATCAGAATCTTCTTGAATCTTGTCCTACAATATCTTCAAAATGTCAAGTCGATTTTGTTTCTGACTGTCGGTTAACATTCTCGGCACCAGTCTCGCGGAGACTTTTCTAATATTCAAAGAATGTTTCAATATGGATTGAATACTTCCATATGAAATGCCCGTTTCTTGAATTAAGTATCGGATAGTAACTCTTCGATTGCTCAATACTAATTGTATTGACTCGACTTTCGCGACATTTTCTTGGGTGACTGACGCAAGGGCGGATCCAGCTTTGGTGCCAGGGGGGGGTCACGTAGTCGTGGTCAAATGATAAGAAGTTATAATTTAATTTTTATAATCATAGACACAAGTAAAAAGTAGGTATTTTTATCCGACTTCAAAAAGGAGGAGGTTATCAATTCAGATGTTTATATTTTTTATGTATGTTCGGGCATAACTTCGTCACATATAGACGGATTTGCAAAATTCTTTTTTTGTTCATAACATTTCGTCACTTTTTATTATCATATATACAGGGTGGATTTTATAAAGTTGCCCAAACTCACACAGGAGGTTCAGACTCGGTAGTATAATCGTTTATTGAAATAAAACCAAACTTTTTTTTTTAAAGATTGGTATTCTATTCCCTAAAAAACAGAACTTGTTGACAATGCGGTAGTCATTCATAAATGCGTCGTATACTTTTGGATGACACTTAGAAAAGCCTCTCTGTATAGTATTTTTTTCTATTTAGTAGCTATTGGTAGGCTTACCTATTTTTGAAATTTCTTTTTATTTAAATCTTCGTTACCAGATCTCCTAAAATAGCCGTACAGAAACTAAAATTACATTGTCCACGTTAAAAATATGTTCATAAATAACAAAAAAATATTTATTCAATCATTCATCCATAATATTCAGCGCTCATCCATCTAATCAAAGACAGAATCCATATTCATAACAAACAGTACGAACAAATTTTATTTCCCAAAGGTGGGGTGGCATACTCACGTCCACTAAACCACCACCTCTCACCACCCATCAAAAACGGTCCACCCATTAAGACGAATCAAACTCGACGCAGTTGTGTTCCTTAATTATTGAGTTCCTATGGTCACATTCCAGCTCTGCCATTAGACCCTAATTTAGATGGATGGCACCGAAAAACTCGTCATGACGAATCAAACTAGCCGAGACACAATAGGGTTGCGTCGTTTCTTTACTGAGTTCATATGACTATCTTCCAGCTCAATCATCAGATCAGACCCTGGTAACTACCTAAAAATTAAGTACTCGCCAAGACGAATCAAACGAGCCGAAACTCGATGGGGTTGAGTCGTTTAATTGCAGAGTGGTCATAGGAACCTCACAGAATAGCCTCAAGGACCTCACAGAAGATTGCGATAAAGCGCTTCTGCGTTTTGTCTGGTGAGTGAGGTAGGCGGAGCCCACTTTATTATAAGGAGAAAACTGCAACCCTATGCATATGTCCATGGACGGCTGAAGATGGAGCTCCATCATCAGATCCTGGTCACCAATGAAAGACAAACTACTCGTCAATACGATTCAAATTTACCCAAACGCGATGAGGCTCTGTCGTTTCATTGCGAAGTTCCTTTGGCCACCTTCCAGCTCCATCATCAGATCAGCTCCATGTCATAAAAATATTGCATTGTCTCGCGATTTACACATGTATACAAAATTTCAGCTCAACTGGTAACCGGGAAGTAGATCGAATTTAATTTGCAAGATTTGATGACAAACATTAAAATATTGTAAAAGTGTTCATAAAATGAAAACTACTTGGGCAAACTATGGTAAATTTTTATGGGACCAATTGGCAACTATTCTGCATCAAAATAAAGAAGAATCTCGTAAATCTGATCATAAATCTCAACGTAATCGGTGTACATAGATCGAAAAAAAAATCTAACAATCGAATTGAGAAACTCCTTCTTTTGAAGTCGGTTAAAATATTATATTAATTTAATTAAATATTGAAGGTACTTACATAAAATCTATAATGTGGCAAAAAATATATAAAAAATGATGTGGTGTCGTGGGACACCAGGTAGGAACGAAGTTCCTTCGGCTAATGTAGAATCGACACAAATTGCAAAAAAAATCGTGCTCAATTTTATGTAGGTTTTCTTGATTTTTCTCTTAAATTTTGCTGATTAGTTTTTATTTAAGTACAAGAAAGTATTTAGGAAATTCAGTATTTTAGGAAATAATAAATTACTTAAAATAAAAAAACATCGTAATTCAAATTATCAAATAAAATAACAAAATTATACACTACTCGCTTGTGTATGCGACTGTCGCGCCTGCGCACGTCTCATTGAACGGTTTTATTCCACGCACTTTTTTCCACGGATTTTTTCTTACGGTCTTACTATCACATTTTTTTCAGTTCGGTCGCGCAGCAAAATCCCTATCCCCTCCAAGCCTGCCGTAAGGAACTTCGTTCCAAAAACATTATGTTTAACAATTTTAATTAGTGGTCCACCTAGGTCCTGGAACCAGCCCAGGGGGGGGGGGGGGTCATGACCCCCATGACCCCCCCCCCCTGGACCCGCCCTTGGACTGACGTCGACGGACGGCCGCAACAATGTTCGTCTTCCGTGCTCGTTCTCCCTACTCGATATTGAGAAGCCCACCTTGCGACAGTGGAATACGGTGGAGCAGACTCTCCTAATGTTGCCTCCAAATCACAATGAATCTGTCACGTCGTAAACTTTTTTAAACAGAGGTATTTAATAACCGCTCGCACTTCGTTTTTCTTCATTTTCGAGAACACGTTCCGGCACGAAGCAAACAAATGACTGCATTCAGAAAAAAACAATGGAGAATCGAAGATTTTTTCTTTATTAATATTACAAATATGCTATCTGAGCAGGCATAGCAAGCATTTTTTTCTTACCAAGGACTATGTCGTTCTCGCTTCTTTTTGATCCTTCCTCGTATGTGGTATAATCGACTACCAGGAGCGGTTGGCAAATGGCTGAGCAAATCCAACATAAGCGAAACATTCTCAAGAACGAACTGGAATCGTTCCATATTTCACCCAACCCCAGTGCATACACCGTCGCGGGTAATAAATTTCGTAGTTCTACACATGAAATACTAAGTCATCCTCTTATTTTATAATTTAAACACGTATGAAAGCAAATCAATTTTTTTTTATTTATTTATAAGTTTTTGTTGGATTTAAGTCTTGCTCCGCTAGTATAATATATTTTGTGTAATACTGTGGAATGCACATGTACATCAATTTCCATCCGCAAATGAGGGAATTGTTAACAATAATTGAAATTCGCTGTTCAAGATTAATTTGATGTTAAACAACAATGTTTCAATATTTTTTACGCTCCAACGTCGACAAAACGCGCTCCGTGAAACGACGAAAAAAAGGCATAAATCATGGCTATATGAATGTTAAAATGCATAAATCATGGCTATATGAATGTTAAAATGCATTTAAGGTAAGTAATTTAGATGTAGGTATAAGGGTACCTACATCTATATATAAGCTCTTATTACATCAATACATTTACATTCTAATCCAGTTTTTAGAGTACTTTACATTTTTTATACATCCTCGGGTGAATTAAGTGAATGGGGCAATATCACAATTTGGACCTAGCCTCAAATTTTTTTAATAATTTTTTTTGGAACACGCCAACCCGAAATGAAAACTGAATAAAAAAAGTGTACGGTGTACTATGGCCTCAAACCTTAGTTATTTATGTTCCTTCTAAGTCATACCCCGAGGGGAAATCAATGCGAAACCCTTTGAATTATGCACTGCCAAGTCAAAGGGAAACCTAGCACTAACGGTGGAACTAATAGAGCCAATCTATTTCCCTTTACCGTGCATTTATAACTGATTGAACCGGGAGCAATCGTACCTACACAATTTGCAACGTTATTAAAAATGGACGAGGCCATGTACTACATTCTATTGGAATGTTACGTAATTCGCAATTTGAGTACAGAGTTTCTTATAATTCTGCTTGGTATCATTTTCCTATTAAATTATTGAATATCTGTAACAGACAGTAATACATACGTTTTGTATTACTGTCTGTTAAGAAATTTAAATATCTATAATATTAATTTTCTAATATTTCGAATATAACACTAATGTTTCTATTGGTTAGAGTATTTTATTGATTGCATCTACATCTACAAAGCTACTGGTGCTGAGCTTAACTAACAAAAGGATTATGTTTCGACGAGTAACAACAACACTTATTTAAACTTAATAGTTTCCGTCTCTTTAAACTGTCATCTAATAATGTGAAGCAGAACACATGTCGTATCTGACATTGGTGGATCGCATAGGCTGAGGATTTCTGGGGGAGGGTTAAAAAGTTGTTAAACGATCGGCACGTGGAAACGAAGGTGCACTTGAAAGCTTGTCAATGCCTAATCTTTTTTTCATTTTTTATTTCCTCACTTATGCCGGATAAAATCGTAGCACCAATTGTTTTTAGAAATTCGCCATATAAATAAAATCCAATGTGGGAAAGAAATAACTAATAAAATTTCATTTTCTTTTCACCTTCCTTGTCGCTTCTTCCGGGAACACAAGAACACGTAAACGCAATCTTCTGCGAACCTCGGCGCGATTGTGGCCTGCGCAGGCCTTCTCTCTGCGGGTGCTATGACAACCGGCGCGGCCACAGCTCTTTCCGCGCCCGCTCCACATGCACTCTGCTGGTTGCCACCATGTAACACTACAGGTCAGTGGACTGGGACTGCGATCCGGTCTTTCTTTGCGCCCTATCCCTGAGGCCAAGTTTGCTTCTCACTGGAATGATCCTAGCGCCAGCACCCACTCTGTCGCCGATGTGGTACTTTGGATAGAGTTTTTTATAACGTTCACCCGCCGTGGTTCCGTCGCACCTGCAAGGTGGAGTCTTACCGGAAGCAGGAGTGTTAGTAGGCCTGGAAGTATGCAATCCTTACAATCTCAGCACAGAGGAGATGACTCGTTGGCCCACAATGCGAAAAAGAAAGCCGAGCTATTGGATACTCTTTTTGCTTCTAACCCGCTGGATGGTAAGGAGAACGCACCACCGGACGCCCCGTGGTGTGAGCATGCAATGCCAGCCATCAGGTTTATTCTGAATTCTGTTCAAATGGCACTTTTCTCCCTCGGCAAGTCGAGTGGGCCGGTTAGAATCCTCCCCGTTGTGCTGAGGAAGTGTGCTCCAGATTCGCCACCGACTATAAGCCGACTTTTCCGACACCTATTCCCTAGGTATTGTCCCAAATTCTTAGAACACGGCCTTATTGTACACGATCCCTATAAAGGTGAACGCACGAATCCCCCTAACTACAGGCATATTGCCATCCCCTCTTTGTTATCTAAAATAATGGAGTTCATTATTAACTTTCAGCTCCTTTGGTACCTTGGTACCTTGATGTAACACAAGTCTGTTAAACTGTTGCCTACTCAGTTTCTTCTGCATATCAATGACTTACTTTTGATAACAACAAACTTAATAAATCTATTAGATGTGAATTCAAATTAAACGATCGTTAAAGAATACTTTTTAGTGTATTAGATTCAAACTGTTGACAGTTAAAGTTAAATATAAACAGTTATCGGAATCAAGAAACCCTGCGTGAAGCCTTGAACTTTGCACTAACTTGTCTTAAGATAGCGGGTAAGTTTGTGCAGAAAAAGTAAGAACTCTTCAATGATTTCTCAAGGGATATGAAGACGCTTTATTTCAAATAAAGCATTCAAGCTCATTTCAGGTCATATTACACCGCATCTAATCTCAAACAGAACATTTCCGATCTATAAATAAAGTCTTTCAGTTAGGGATTTTTCTTCAAACAAACTCATGTAATTTGCCCATTATATTACTAATACTTTTTTCCTGAACATAAAATAAGCTCCTTCTACACATTTAGAAATCTCAGCCTGAAACCGCTGAAAGTTTAAGAGGATTTCTTTATAGACTTACTTTGTAAACATTTTTGATAACTCTGAATATATTTTAAACTCTTTTGTTTCTTCGGCAGCATGTTCTACACTGCCAATATTGTATTCAGAGTAAAGAAAATGTACATGTTGCTACGTTGCTCCACTCCCGCATGATTTACGAACAAAGAGCAGCAAGGATTCTTGTTTGCTTTGCAAATATTTCTTTTCAAATTGTTTCAAAATGAAGTCAACGCGTTCACATTTTAATAATTGATAAGTAAATGAGAACGTAACTGTAACGCTGATAACGAATCTTAAATGAAATATTACTTTTATTATTTTTTTAAGACATGCTCAAATTTTTATATGAAAAGGTGGCAAGCAAGCAGGCGGTTTACCTGATTTTAAGCTATAAGCGCCACCTATTGACATTTGCAACACCCGTAGGTTTGCAGATGCGTCGCCTCCTTTTAATAAAGAGGGCCCCGACTACCTCACTCACTAGACGAAACGCACAAGTATATATGATACTTCCACTTCACGCCGATCTTCTGTGAGGTCGTGATACTCACCCGGAAGGGCTGCCCGTTCGCAAAAAAGCGTACCCCAGTAAAAAAATATAATTTTCCTAACACTTGATTTTTTAAAAATCAATTATTTAATGAGCGGTTACGATACGACTATAGGAGAGTGTGTAAACAGTTGAAATTAAAGTTCTAAGTTGTTTAGAACAAAAACATTACAAAGCTTTAAAATATGTAAAAAAAGTGCGAAAAGATTGTCTCCGCTGTGGGAATCGAACCCACGTCTTCGGCATTCGCGGCCTGACGCTCTAGCCACTGAGCTAAACGGCTGATTACCACACCGAAGAAAATCTTAACGCATTCTTCCACATTGTTTTCTTAGCATTTGAAGCAATGCTTGGCGCCATCTATTGTTATATCCTTTCCAGCATATAAACAACTTCGAATATCGTTTTACAACGATAATTCGAACGAGAGATGCCATTGCTTTTTTAGAAATTTAAATTGTTTATAGTGTTAATCTTTGCACTTGAGATTGAACATTAAAATATGTAGAAAAAGTGCGAATAGATTGTCTCCGCTGTGGGAATCGAACCCACGTCTTTGGCATTCGCGGCCTGACGCTCTAGCCACTGAGCTAAACGGCTGATTACCACACGGAAGAAAATCTTAACGCATTCTTCCACATTGTTTTCTTAGCATTTGAAGCATGCTTGGCGCCATCTATTGTTATATTTCCAGCAAAACAACTTATTTAAACGATAATTCGTACGAGAGATGTCGCCACTTTTTTAGAAATTTAAATTGTTTATAGTGCTAATCTTTGCACTTAAGATTGAACATTAAAATATTTAGAAAAATCTTTTCGCACTTTTTCTACATATTTTAATGTACAATCTTAAGTGCAAAGATTAGCACTATAAACAATTTAAATTTCATTACAAAGCTGTTGAATTACAGTAATAAAACATTCACTTGCCAAACAACCGCTTAGTATTTTGTGTGTATCTCGTTACATTTTCGCGCAGTTGCACAGCCGGCCGCCCCGACTAAATGCCAATTTGTTAGCGCCTCAGAGAGCAACCTCTTTAGTTATTATTTTACGAACCGAAACCTCTCTTCAATTAAATACCTTAATATCATTATGTGCCTGGTATAAATGAAAAGCGCACACAGAGTGTTCTAATAGTATGTCGAATGTTTTTAACAACTTATCCAACTTAGTTTATTTGGGTGTCAGATTTTCTTGTCTTTCACGTTATAGCTCGGGAAAGGATTTAAAAATTGAATAATTTAATAGGAAAATTTGCACCAAATGCACGGTGCGGACTCTGCTTATGTATACGGTATGACTTATGTCCCCTGAACCAGACACCATTCGCAGCGGTTGCACTTTTAATCGTTCACAACTGGAGCTAACTTTCGTTTCTGCCCAAATTCGCGGTATGTAATAATCCTCAAGACTGCTATAACAGTGTTCGAGATGAAGATGTAGGAAAGAAGCAAGAGGAAAGAAGAAACAGAAAGAAGAAAAAAATCCCTATAGAAGATCAAGAAAGAAAAAAATCTTTACCCAGCTTCTGCAGTCTTTAGTGTTTAGTTCAATGTTCTCGTAGAAAAATTCCAGTTATGTAAGTAGAATATATATGCATACGTCCCATCTTAGAGGCGGCAATTTTTAAAATTTAATTATGCGTTTGTCGACACGACAGCAATGTGCTCAATATAGTGCAGCTGACGACGGTCTTGTTCTTAGGCACCCATTATTTAGCGTACTCACCGCCTGCGGGACCCTAAGGCCCCACGACGTAAACTTCAGCATGGGCTCCTTACTATGGGAACCCTTACGATACGACTGCCCCGAAATCGGAGTCTTCTGCGCACAGTAATTCGGTCTCCCTCCAAGCCATGGTGGACAAATAAACCCCGCCCTATATAATAACGATGCCTTCACAGTCATCATAGACAAGAGAAATAAGGGTAGAAAACGTCCGTATGGTTTAAAAGTAATAACTTCCATGAGGTCCGTTCAAACAACATCATTTAAATTTGTAACAAATTTTTATGTGGGTAAACTTCTTTATGAATCCTACGTCGCCTTGTGGTTAGGCAGCAGGGTATGTGGGAGTTTCCGAGTGACACGGGAATACCCCTAAAAAACCGACGTTGCACCTGCGCTGTCGCTTTGCCTCTTCTTCCCTCTTAAGCCCTCCGCGTTGAAGCAGTAAGTCCCACATCTGTCGCCCCGGGGCTTACTATCAGGAGGGAAGGTTCTTAAGCCAGCCTCTGTGGCCTGATCTCCGGCGGCGGATTGCCGAAGTGGCAGTTGCTGTGCCTCCCTTTCTCCCTCCACAGCCTTCTTCCGGGTGATTACATCCCGACGACCTCTCGCTGTGCAGGCAGCGAAAGGTCATGCACTACCAAAGCCCTCAGCTCTCGGCTGCTCCCGCCATGTTGGGCACTCCTCCAGTGCATGTTGGGCCGTCTCCTCCACACATGCGTCGCAGTGGTGACAACCCGCTTTTAGCTACCTCCCCGCCAAGCGGCACAGGTACCTCCCGAAATAGCCATGTTCCGGGAGAACCTGATACGCCCGGTAGGTGAGGGTACCGTGACTCCTGTTCAGCCACCGACTAAGTACCGGACGAATGGCCTCTATGGTTCTTAGGTCGGCACTTAGGTGCTCCAGTCTCTGCTCCCACTCGGCGATAGTGAGTGAGCGCAATCTTAGTCTGCACCCTCTTAATTCCTCTAATCTCCTTTAAGGCCGGCAGGTGGCCCTGGGTTATTACCTCCTCGAGGCCAGGTTTCTAGGTCTCAGGAAAGGGAACCTGCCAGCGCCGCGAACCGCCTCACCGGAGATCGTCCGGTAGTGCCGTATGCGCAGGAGCGGCTTGGTCCGGCAATTCAGGGTGCCGCCCCAAAAGGGAGCACCGTACAGGGCCATAGTGCTATTTTGGATGACTGCAACAAGGCGACACCTACTTATTATCGCAAGACCGCAAACTTCAGATGTTTATAAGAGGCATCCAGGATTTAGAAGAGCCAATCCAAGAGCATGAAAGAAATTGAATTCGTTAAGTTACTTACCGATATTTGACTCCAGGGATACCCGGTACACATCAACACTTATCATGCGACCGTGTTCCGATGGATATGGCTGAGCTAATATCGAGGTACGTCAAATAAACTGACGACCACAACAAAAACGAACTCCGGATTGCCCCCCTCCTATAAGACAGTTGACATCCATTGGGGTCATGATCCGCACCAAACTTCAATGGCCCGTAGTTGACATGCATCCAGATTAGATAATTCACGCATTAGTTCGTACCAAACTAGCCAAACTACCAAACGAGTTCTGGGTTCGATGAAGCTTTAAAAGTCTACGGATTAAAAGCAAAATCAGTAGTTAGTTTAAAGTAATAGTTAAAATCAGTAGTATGTTTAAAGTAGTAGTATAACCGAAGTAAATAAGTACTCTTCATATCTGGTGAGCGAGGTAACAACCAAATATATAAACACGCAACAGAATGTTTTTCCACAAATTCAAATCAAATTTGACCATAAATTACTAGAAACAAAAACCTTTCTTGCGTAAATAAGCCCTTGAAACCTCCATTTATATACTCGGCAACGAACGAAATTTTCGCTGCTTGCAAAAAACACTTCAAGTGGGCGAGTCTATTGTTTTAGCCCTTCTCTCAACATTTTACGACACACTCCTTAAGTATTGCTATTAGGTAGGTACCTAAGTTGCGATTATAACGAAACCATTGCGAAGAATATTTAATTATGCTTTATTGCAACAGGAAAATATTTTTTTAGAATTTGTTACTTGTGTGAAAACGAACATCAGAAATACTTCAAAATTAATATATCTCCATGTTAAAATCCAAAGTAAAGTTTATCAACATACATATGTATGTTCAAACATAATTATGAATAAACTAAGCTATAAATTTAGATTTTTCATATAACAATCTACTGTACGGGACAACATATGATATACAAAGTCCAATTTAACTTAGACCATTTTGCATGCATAACGCACCTTAACTTGTTGTTAAGTAATTGCCCTTTGCTTTAGAAGATTATCGTTGTCGCTACAAATGTTTAAGTTTGAAAATTTTTTAAACGTTATCCAATTATCGTAACAAATATAAATATTATTTTTAAAACTAAGATTATAATGAAAATAGTGTGGAAATCGGGATCAATTTTTTTAATTTATATTTAATTTAAATATTTTTATTTAATTTAAAGCAACTAAGATTTTTTACATCCAACACTATATCACAATTAATTAGATTAATCAAAATAATTCAATTTATCGACTGAACCCGCATAGAAGAAATTACTTTTACTAATAAGACCGCCCATTGTGCCCATCACTTCCATATAATTTTTTTGATTTTCGTTTATTTTTGATGTGCAATAAAATATATTAATTTATTCAACGTTTATAAATTCCTAACTTAATATATTTATTACATATATTATAGAATTCTTATATTTATAACATATATTATAGAATTCTTATATTTATAACGTGTCCACTATAATTGAGACTTTTTTCTATTTATAACCGTACAAAATTAACTAATTTCACTTGTTTTTAAGTGACGATGCAGTTCAAGCCGTTAAATTAAATATTGTTGAAAGTGCTTAATTTAAAACGATAAAGTTAGTTTTGTCATCCCAAAAGAGTAACTTGGAGCCGTGATAGCTCAGTGTCCGTGCGCTCGCCTTAATTCAATGTATACTCGAGCAACCTGAGTTCGATCCCCGGTGCCGGCACCAATGAAGTTTTTAACTTAAGTGCTGAATTATCACGTGCTCCGCGGTGAAGGAAAACATCGTGAGGAAACCTGCATATTTTCGGCAAAAAAAAAATGTATTTCGAAAATATGTGAAGTCCGCCAATCCGCAGTGGGGCCGCGTGGTGGACTATGCCCTATAAAGGAGGCCTTTGCCCAGCAGTGGGACATGTATAGGCTGTTACTTTACTTTTTTTTTACTTTAAAAGAGTAACTTTGAATGCTTAAAATGAATGCTACCTTACCATTCTTACACGCACCTAACGTTCTACTTAGTTAATTACGGCAAAGATTAATTTGTTTACACGTTACCAGGTGAACCACAACGTTATCTTGATGTCTATTCCGAGTTCAAGAGAGTTAATGGAGCAAGTGTTATTAAAGCCAGACAGCGCCCTAATGTTTAGTTCTCTACACGTAGATAGAGCACAGATGTTGTGGTTAGGACATTGTGAGCGACTATTCGGTAATTGAACTCGGACGAATTCGGGATTTAAACTAAAATCCCCATTCATTTGTTAATTCAAACTAAATAATGAGAAAACTAATACGTAAAAATGTTGGATATCTGTACCGTTTCTACTTTAAAACGAAACTAAAAGCAAGCTAAGGTTAAAAATATTTTACCCAATTTCAACGAAAAATTACTAATGTTAAAATTAATGAAAATGCCAAATATTAAACAACCTCTAGAATTGCCGAGTTAGTCGATCTGCAGATTCATGTACAGGTTAAATTGCCACGTTGGTGTAAGTCCCCCATTTCTCACAACACACTATGCAACTACCTACAAATAAACATCCCTCCTCAACACGTCCCAGTTTACATAATATTAAATAACATTAATATTACCGGTTAGCTGGTAAATTGTTTCTTACAGCATGTATGTTTTATATACACAGTGGATCGGATCATACCAGTTCAATCGCCTTAGACTGATCTTATTCTTGGTGTTTTCCTAATTATTATACTTGTTATAGTTGGATATTGTATCCGATAACAGTATGCAATATATCAAGCATCTCTCTTTCAGTAGACACCATTTTATTTACCTATTTCTACCGGTTCATACTTCCTGCTCGGTTTTTGTTGCTAACTAAAGCTTATCTGTTGAGAAATACATCTAAAGATAATGGCAGGAAGGCGATTTAAGTTTAAGTTACCGCTTATTTTTACAAAAAATGAAAAATTGCATTTCTATTTTTTTCTGTAGAAGCTCTTTTTTGTTGTCGATCTTGAATTGGTTTTTTAATTTATTTTGGTATTCGATTATGGACTTAAAAAAGCAAAACGTGTGTAGGACAGAACAGGATCGAAGGTATAAAACAGGATGTTCTGCCTCCCGTCCCTGTCTGGTTAATTAAGCCACTTTTTAGGAGTTATCAACGTTTCATTTTTATTTGTCATTTAATTTAATAGGATTATCGATGGAGATGAAAACATAGAACAAAGTAACTTCCTTTGAGGAAAGGGCAAGGAAAAGCTTTCAATTTAAACTAGATTAAACTTTTAGATGGTCTCAAATCTTTTTTTTTTTTTTTTTCGGAAGGTTTTTTGGGGATTCGAAACTTACGCGTTAATTCTGTTTCTATTTCGTATTTCATATTAATATGATGAAGTGCCAAATAAATGTATTACATATAAGTTTTATATTGTAACTCTTTATTCGTCGACCGAATTAACTTTCGTCGTAACTACTTAAGATAAATTGTTCGTGAAAGCTTAAGACGATTATTGCGCCCTGTAGCATAATAAACATAGCTGATATGAATACGAAATTATTGGAATATTGCTAAAGTATTTGTATATTATAAATTTAATTTACATTATAAATATTTGTCAAATTTACTGCTTACATATTTTAAATTTTTCGAAACGAATTAAATATTACTGAACGTTTTCTTGTTTTTGTTTAACGAAACGATCTTTTATCTCAGTTAACTAGACATGGATACGAACTACGGGTGTCTTTGTGACTTTTCTGACACCGCACCAATCAGTCATAGGTTAAGGTTGGGAAGTTTTTCAATGATAATTCTTGGGTTTTTCGAGACAAGGAAAGGTCAAATGGTGAAAATGAGCTTCAACACGCAAGATGACTTTTTCGTAAAACCCAATCAGCAAAGATCTTCTGTTAACTGAAATTTAAAAGATTTAAGACCCAAGTTTATGCAAAATATGGTGTAATATTCTTTGTGGAATGCCCAGTTCCAAAGATTGGAGAATGAATTCCGTGAAATGGATCAACCTGGGTTTTCCTCAATGCTGTCTGTATACTACAACAGCAACATTGTTAGTTGTTCTGGAGCAACAGCATAAACTTTTCCACCATTTCCACAATTGATGGCAAAAATCCTTTAGTTTTGCGGACTGTGACTGTGATTTTAATAATTTTAAAGCGTCGTTTTACTTGCATAGGTTTTACTTGTCAACTGCTAAGTAGTTACAGATTGTGTCATGACAAGTTTTAAAATGGCGGGCTATTGAAAATTAAACGCGTTATTTATTTGTGGTTAACGTAGATGAAGGTGGCATTAATTCAGCCGATGTTTATTTATTGTACATAAAAAATAAAGAATATACTTTGATTACATACTTGTCTAGATGGAGTAATTCTTAACAAACGACGCGCTAAAACTGTCTCCGATTGCGTGATATGTGTAAGTGCCGCTCGTGTACTTATGGTAAAAAAAAGTGTCAAGGTGTGCATATTAAGGGATGCCTGCTCCAAATTGTTCCTCATTAGTTATTAAGGTGAAAGTTAAACAAAATTGGTTGAATAAAGTATTTATTTTGTAGATTGGTACGTTTTTTTTTTTAACAACAAAAATACAATGAAAAAAATACAGTAGTTTAAACAACAAAACTCTGTTTCTTAATCATCTGTATAGTCGTTCATCACGTAATCTGCTGTATAATCGCTCTCCAGCCATTTGCAATCACGGAATCTATAGGAAATCTGAAACCCAAAATAAAAGGAAAAACTAACTAAAATATTATTTACTGCATGACGTCGTCGTGCAATAAATAATAGTACCCGGAGGACCGAGCTTTGCTCGGTTTCTTTTTTTTGGTAAATCGTTTATTTTGGAAATTACATTTAGAAACAAATTACTGAGTAATGAAATATGCATAATATTTTTCGATCTTACCGACGTAATAATAACAAAATATGAACTGATGTTTTTCACAAAAGAAAGAACTTTAAAAAAAGGGAAAAAACAACAAAATAACAAATCGACAAAAAATTAAAAATAAAGAAAGCAATGATCTGACGATCGTGACACGAACCACGGCCTTCTGTTTCGTGGCCGCCCGATTACCGACCGAGCTATTGTAACATTTTCTTTTGCGGCGAAATTTACCGTCGTATTCGAATGATATTTTTCATTCCCTGAAAACAGGGATAAAAGGACATTTTCTAAAAATGAAAGCTAGCTAGATCGATTTTTTGCCCCCGAATCTACGCACGTAATAATTTCATGAAAATCTCTGGAACCGTTTCCGAAATTCCGATTATATATATACAAGAATTGCTCGTTTAAAGGATAAGAAGATGTATTTTATATATGTAAATTATCATTTACCGATCAAATAAGTAATTATTTTTATTTTTTAATGTGATTATATATAATCAAAGATAATAAATATGCAAATGTTTTAATATTGCTAACAAAATACTAATTAACCTCAAAATTTAAGGAACGACAAGTGACGACTTAAAAGACCGCCATCAAAGCAAGCAGTCACCGACAGGTCATACAATTACGTATAATTTCAGTCACTATCACTACATTTATTCGCTGCAAGTCACATTTACATAAAGACTTTATCATACTGCGCTGTTGGAAACTACGAGTACATAGCTCATAGTGGAATGCCTTCTCTGAAGATAACTGCGGTTATAGTTAACTATGAAGTTAGTTTTAAGAGATGATTTATAATTTTATTTACATATTTATATTCATTGTTCAGTGTACCGTTTCGTACTTTATATCATTGAAATAAAAGTTCGAAGAAATGACTTAATTGCTACAATGTCGCTTGCTAATCGTAGCAAAACTAGAAAACGATAGAGTTTCTAACGTAAATGACACCAATAATATAAAAAACAGCATCTTTTATTGATTACAACGACTTTTAATTGATCATCGTCCCAACGTTTGTTTCTTAAGCTGTTAGAATGAAATTAGATCCAAACACACCGACACTGCGAGGCTTCAAATATTTGGCACAGATGTTAATAAAATAAATAATCTAATCGTTGATGGTCGCGTTAGGAATAACTATGACATACCTTTGGAGTTTACACTCAGTCAGCTCAGTCTGTCCATAATTGCAGTGATGTTTGACACGTCGCGTCGGGGAAAAGTAAGATTAAAAACTAATTTGTCAACAAATCCCAAATAAAAATTAATTTAAACATTTAACAACAAACAAAAATTATTCTCCCAATTGTTATGCTAACGCTTTGGTAGTTAATTTACTTCCTCATGCGATTGCTCTATTAACGAAAAAATGGTTAATGGTTTTAAAAAAACCTACTTCTTAAAGTTCTTTTGATTGATATGTTTCCTACCGTATTATTACACGACCCTTAGAACGTGGTCGACATTATTAAGATTACGTCATGTAATGGCTTTACCTACATTAGAATTATTGCTTAATATTCTTATGAACTTCAAAGTCTACTGAACCCGCTATTTGCACTATTAAGCACAAAATTCAACGCAGTTTCTAACTAATAAGTGTGTTTGAGGACGAGATTTGAATAGCTGTGGCACAAAATCAACGTATCTCATAGAAGTAAAAAAAATACATCTTTTTGTTGCTATTTTATATTGTAAAACAACATGAAAAAGAGCAATATTCTCATTCTCGAACCGAACAATACTCAATTTTGAGACGTTTTCTGGCTTCGGCAGCACCTGCTCATAGGAGCAACAAAAAGTAAAACTCCTTTGGGACAATAATGTACTGGGTACAAAATTTTTCGAAAATCTTTCTAACCATTTGTCCAAATGGGCATTAAGTAAAAGTAAAAAACTAGCTAAACTAAGGAATCATGTTTAAGTAAAATTATTTCTGCCTTTGCAATCAATTCTCAAGCTACGTAAAGGTCGTAGATTGATATATGTTAGCTGATTAATACTTAAGTTTATATGTTACTGAAACATCGAAAGACATGCTTTATAAATATGTTTAAATTAAATATTAAAACAATTTTGCTTCTTATATTTACATTTTAAAAGCGTTCTATAGTATAAAACCGTTTAAAAACTTTTAAGTTAAACGGTTTTATTTTATGTGCATTGAAAACTACAATATGGTATTGTCATCTAAATTAAATGTGTGTACAGAATTTCAGATCAATCTGACAACGGGAAGGTGTTTAAATTTCAATTTCTAATTTTGACCCAAATAAATAAACAAATTCCGTACGGGTCGAGCTAAATAAAACCGTTTAAAAACCCCCATTTACTTCCAATTTAAAAAAACGTTTTTCACCACTAATTGGTACAAAGAAATCGTTAATGTCACTGTCTATGCTACGTTGGTACCACAATACAAATCGTATTCGAAAAAATTCGGTATTCTTGAATATTAAGAAGATCGAACGGTATCACCCTAAGAACGATCTAAATTTGATTTAGATCGTTCGTGAACGATTTAAACTTTGAATTTGCGTTTCTTTATAATTACGAATACATTATATATATGAATATATTATATTTTTTCTTGAAAAAAATGCATTGAAATTCAGGCCAGTAAACAATAAATTTAATCAAACCTGGATTTTACTTAAAAAAACATTAATGGTAATATCATAGAATTAAGAACATTAAAACAATATGATCAAATTATTTGAACTATGACGGAAAACTGTAACTATGAAGAAATAAGGCATCTTTATCATAATTGTTCAAAGGGTTCCTTGACTTACCCTTTGAGCGCAAATTAGCGATGGTATGTTCTCAAACAAAAGTGTTACATTATTATGTATACGCCCTTTCATTATAGAGTGCTGACGGTATTTCTTAATGGTATGACGCACACAGAAGTAATGATTACTATATAATATATTGGAGATACTATAATAGAAAAATTATCTACTCTATTTATAAACTTTAAGGTTAATAACATTATTAAAATTTGTAGCAAAAGTACGAAAAAATTGTCGCCGTTGGGGGAATTGAACCCACGTCTTCGGCATTCGCGGCCTGACGCTTTAGCTACTAAGCGGCTGATTGCCACACCGACGAAAATCTTAACGCCTTTTAATTTTTAATAACATTGAACAGGGTGCGAGTCTAAATTAATGAACACGGCTTTATGTTGAACTGGACGTTTATTCGCAAACTTGAAAAATAATTACAACCGTTGCGACGTAACGAAATCGTATGTGCACACTACAAAAGCGGACGAACAGAGCGAGAGCGGGGTCACTGCCCGCCCAATATATAGGTGGGAAGGATGATGCAATAACCATTTACTATTACATGTACCTTACATAATTAAAATGACATTTTGCGAACTACCTTCTACTATAAATTATAATTTATATTAGTTATTTATATAAGTATGTATTAACAATGAATAATTTAAAGAAAATAAAACTAATACATGAAAATAAAGAATCTAAAAAAAAGTATTTACATTATAATACGTGCGTCGCCAACATTCCCCACCCCAGTGTCGATGCTTAGACACTCATCACCCATAGGAATTCGGGCGACGCGCGTTGCTGGCCGAACAAGGGCCCCAGACTGTGTTTTTAACTGAACTACTCTAGTCCTACCATCTTTGCCAGGAAAAACCCTTTCAACAATTCCGCGTTGCCAAACACCACGCTGCTCATTTGGGCTGACCACTAAAACTAAATCCCCCACTTGTAATGGTCTTTGGTCTTTATTCCATTTGTTCCTTGGTAACAGCTCAGGCAGAAACTCTTTGATCCATCGTTCCCAAAACTTGTCGGTTAGTCGTTGCGCGATACGCCATTGTCTTCTGATGAACATATCAGAATCATCATAAACTCCAAGCATCGGAAGGTTGGATGACGTTCCCAGCAGGAAATGATTAGGGGTTAGGCTCTCGGTGCTCCCTGGTTCCACAGACACATGAGTAAGCGGTCTACTGTTGACTATGTTCTCCACTTCGGCAAGCAGTGTGCTTAGAACCTCCTCCCGAGGAGCACGCTCCTTCAGTATAACCTTCAGGGCATTTTTAACGGTACGAATAAGACGCTCCCATGCCCCACCCCAGTGTGGGCTTGATGGTGGTATGAAAGTCCATTCAGTTTCGTATTTCAATGCTTGATCTTTTAAAGCATCGCCATTCAAGTCCTTTATAGATTTAATAATTTCTGTATTAGCGCCTCTTAGGTTAGTGCCGTTATCGGAGAATATACGTTTCGGCCAACCCCTTCGCGCAGCCATCCTTCTCAATGCCATAATAAGAGAATCAGTAGTTAAAGAGTTGACAATTTCTATGTGAACGGCGCGTATGGTGGGGCAAGTGAAAAGCACTCCGTATCTCTTTTCTCTCCTACGTCCAACAGTGACATCGAGGGGACCGAATAGATCCACGCCACAATTAGTAAATGGCCGCTGATGATGGTCTAACCGAGCTTGCGGTAAGTCTCCTAGTCGTGGTGGTTCAGGTCTAGCCCTTTTTATGCGGCAGAACATGCAACTGGATGCTACGGTGCGAACAGTAGGTCGGAGTCTCAATATCCAATATTTTTGTTTTAGCTCATTTACCACCATCTCATTTAAACCATGTGCAGCCTTCACATGGTAATATTTGACGAGCAATCTGGATATGGGATGCCGGCCGTCCAATATTACAGGTTGTTTTGTTATAAGCCATACATCAGCTACGGCGTTGATTCGGCCACCTAAGCGCATAATTCCGTGTTCATCCAGGTAAGGCGATAAGGGAAGTAGCTTACTACTTTTCTCTAATACTTTCATATCCTTTATCGTCGCTATATCCTCTGGAAATGACTGCAACTGGGCATATCTTATTAGTAGGCGTTCAGCTTCCTCCATAACCGTGCAGTCTAGCTGGCAGCAGGTAGTAAGTTTTCTACATTTTTTTATAAACAATAGGACATATGCAGTAGCTCTGAGTAAGCGAAGCCAAGAAGAAAACCTAGTCGGATCCGGCACAGGTAAGCTAACTACATGATGATGTTGTAATGTATTAACAGTTTCCAGCTGTAAACTACAAATATTAGGATTCGAAATATCTACAAGCCATGAATATTCGGGTTTATACAGCATTGCTGGCCCATTGAGCCAATCTTACGTAAGTAAGTTACAATCGAATAATTCACGTGTAGCGATATCGGCGATATTTAACTTCGTGGGGATGTATCTCCATTCATTAATGTTTGTGAGCTCGTCGATTTCCCCTAAGCGGTGAGCAACAAATGTTTTATAATTTTTATTATTGTTTCTTATCCAGTGCAAAACAGTACTGGAATCGCACCAGAATACCCTTTTTTCAGGTACTAGTCGGTGTTCTTTAATAATAGTACTGCACAGGCGCGCGGCGAGTAGTGCTGCCTGAAGTTCGAGGTGCGGTACCGTAACAAATTTCACTGGGGCAACGCGACAGCGGCTAGCTATGAATGATACCTATATTTTGTCGCTATCTATCCAACGCCAGTACGCTACAGCGCACATCGCTTTTGTTGATGCATCACAAAATATATGTAACTGTAAGTTACTATAGCCGGCGGCGGGTTGCTGCGCGTGAGTATAGGGCCGATGCGTCATCGATGACGTTGCTGTCTCGCTTCTACTCGTTGTCGCCTTGTAATGTCTCGGTAAGCACAGGTCGCTTATACGTTCTAAATGAGTTATCCATGCGTACCATTTATTGTTCATTTCTTCCGGTATTTTCTCGTCCCATTTAATGTTAGATTTCCATACCTCTTGTAACATTATTTTTCCTTTTATGGTAAAGGGTGATAAACATCCAAATACGTCAAAAATAGACATTATTACCCTTAACATCTGCCGCTTGGTAGGCCTCTGTTTCCCATTAATCAAATCGTTAGGAATGCGTTTAAGACTAACATCAAAACACAAGTTATCATCTTTCGGGAAGCAAAGTAGACCCAGTGTCCGTTCACTCTCATGCTCATGACCGATTTTGAACCTTACAGCCGTATCACCGAGAGTTTCTTTTGGAATGCTATTTATTACAGCTTCGCTATTGCTAGACCAATTACACATTTGAAATCCTCCTTGTTTGTGTATGTAGGAAATGTCGCGTACTAATTCTATAGCAGTTTCTTCATCGGGAACGCTGTCTATGTAATCGTCCATGTAATGTTGTGTGCAAATAGCTGTCACTGCGGACTGCATTGATGAACTAAATCGTTCTGCGTTTTTGTTTTTTATAAATTGAGCTATAAACGGAGAGCAATTAGCGCCAAATATTAAAGATGTCATTACATATTCACCTACAGGGTCAGGCGGATTATCACGCCATAAAAACCTAAATGCGTTTCTATCTTCCGCTAATCTTTTAATTCTAAGATACATGTCTTTTATGTCCCCTGTAATTGCGATATTACTTTCCCTAAATCGCAACATTATGCCTAATAATGACTGCAATAGATCGGGTCCCTTTAAAAGGTTATCATTTAGAGATACGCCATTTGTTTTCGCTGCTGCGTCGAAAACCAAACGTAGTTTTTTCTTATGCGGGTTGTCAACACTGAAATGAAACAGATACCAGGTTTTGGAGTTATTTTGAGTGATGGATTTGTCCATAATTTCCTCAGCATAGTCGTTAATTAGCAGGTGAGTTATCCGTTCCTTATACCTATGTCCATACTTACTGTCAAATTTAATTTTCCTTTCGACGCCCTTTAGCCTCATCATAGCATTGGAGAAGGAGTCGGGCATTTTGCTATTTTCATCGACCCAAGGTAAGCCGACATGCCACCTGCCATTAACCAGGGTTGCAGTTCGTTCCAACTGAGTACACGCTCGAATATCATTATTATTTTGGAGTGGTTGCATTGACACTCCTAACGAATCTAAATTAAAGTAACGACGTACCTCATCATGAAGTTCTGCTAATATTCGCTGTTCTGACTGAGCTTCTTCCAAGTCCTTGCTGAGATATAAATTAATGTGACAGGTCCTCTCTCCAGCCAAATGAGCAGGTACGCGCCCATGCAAACACCAACCTAGAGGAGTCAGGGTTGCACACGGTTCGTTTCTCTTACCTACAATTACACTTAAAGGCAATAACAAATTACAATTATCCTGGCCTATGAGTACTAAGGGTACAGAAGCGACAGTGCATAACTTATGTCTATTTTTACATAAATGTTCATATTTATTAAAATTAACACTCGATAAATTATGTTTGGGTAAACTTAGACTATCTATACTACGTGCAGTTAAATTAAACACAGTGCCATCACAGTTAGAAATCTTAAAGTCCATAACCGTAGTTTCACACACTAGTTCACTGGAATCGAACGCGCCACTCACACGCATTGTTTGACGGCGACCGCTGAGTCCAACACGCGCAGCGAGCTCGCTGCTTATTAGCGATATCGTCGACCCATCGTCCAATAGCGCACTTGTTTTAACTATGCCGTTCGGTCCGTGAATATTAATAGGAACCACTTTTAACAATGACTTAAAACTTGTGTTGATATTTGTTATAATTTCCGAATTTTTCTCAGTCTCTGGCACATCAACAATAGGGGTTAATATGTTCCTTGCGGGTTGATTGCTATATACGGGATAGTTTAACAAGTCCGCAACTGTCCGAGTCACACGCGGGCGCCGGGCAGCTGTCCCTGTCGTGGCGCGATACTAAACATTTTTAGCAGATACCGTGCCGTTTAACATACCGCCACCTGTCCTTACGTAATGACCGTTTGAATTGTTTACATTCGGGTAGTTTGTGCGGAGATTGCTTGCAATATTGACAATTCACAGCTGTTCTTACTTCTACGTTCTGTTACTTCTTTCTTTGTTTAACAACACTGTGTGATGCGTACGGTCAGATTTTTTAAACTTGTTTATACATTGGCCACTGTTTAATAACTGCGCTGAACATGTAGATATTTTAACGGCTTCTTGGTTCAGGAATTCTGACAAAATATCGAGCTTGCATTTTGCTCCTCCATGCTCAAGCAGTCCATAGCTGTAGTCTGTCCATTTTGATATAAGTATTGTAGGTAATTTGTTTATTATAACTGATGCTATACCCGTGTCTTGTAGGTATTCTTGTCGGTTAAGGACACGCACTGCGGCGACGTAGTTGCGTACTTTTATGGAAAATGGCACAATGTCTTTGTGATAGTCGAATGAGATCGGATGCAGTTATTTTTATGTCATATGTGATCCGATTAATAATCACTTCGAGATTACCAAATTGCAGCTCCAAAGTTGCCATTACTACGTCAGGCGATGTGGCGGTAATGAGAAGAGCTGTTACTGCTTCTTTTGCTGGTCCATGAAGACACTTTCGCAGACGCCATGAGTTTTCTTTAGGGCTGAAGTTGCATACCTGTGTAGACTCTTCGTATGCCTGTCTAAATTGAAGCCAGTCCATAGGGTCGCCACTAAACATGGGTAAGTCTTGTGGCGTAGATATACGGCTCAATAAATTGGCACTTCTACTGTGAGATGTTGAAGCGGCGGCTAAGTCCTTGAGTGTGCTGGCCAACATTTGTACGGTACCATAATCGTTGCCAGCGGCAGCGTTACCTGTAGTAGCGTTCTCTGTTGCTGGCGGGCACAACCCACCCGTAGTAAGAGCATCCTCGGGGGCAGGCTGTTCCAGTTGTTGGCTGCGCTCTAACCATCTTTCAACTTCCTCGTTGGTATGCGACCTCGATGAGCGTGAACTGTATTCTAGGTTATTTAAATCGGCCGCGAGTTTTTTGTCAATAAGCTCCATTTGAATGCGAGCTTTTTCCTTTGCTGCCTCCAGCTCCAACTTGTGTCTCTGAGCCCGAATTGAAGAAGAGGAGGATCGTCTGGACTTTTCAGAAGGTGGATATTTGACGGGTATACCTTTCTCCAGGATATCTGTAGGTCCTCCATCACTTTTCGGTTTCTCATCCGCTGACTGCTGAGGCTGATCTTGTGTGCCTTCCAGCTCCTTCCTTCTAGCAGCCCGTGTTTTAATCATTGTTCGCGGCGGTGTGTGGAACATTCAAGATCCGGCTCGAAGGACCACTGAACAGGGTGCGAGTCTAAATTAATGAACACGGCTTTATGTTGAACTGGACGTTTATTCGCAAACTTGATTAAACCGCAAATAATTACAACCGTTGCGACGTAACGAAATCGTATGTGCACACTACAAAAGCGGACGAACAGAGCGAGAGCGGGGTCACTGCCCGCCCAATATATAGGTGGGAAGGATGATGCAATAACCATTTACTATTACATGTACCTTACATAATTAAAATGACATTTTGCGAACTACCTTCTACTATAAATTATAATTTATATTAGTAATTTATATAAGTATGTATTAACAATGAATAATTTAAAGAAAATAAAACTAATACATGAAAATAAAGAATCTAAAAAAAAGTATTTACATTATAATACGTGCGTCGCCAACAAACATTATATTTAAATAAGATTGTTGTGGTTTATATATATATATATACGAATGTGCAAATTGGTACGTTTACGAATATACGTTAGTTATCTATACTATGAAGAGATATACTAATTATTCCCAAATGTTAATTAAAAAAGAGAGCAAAATCCTAGTTTAATTTTAATCATTAGATTCTGACCACAGTTTTATGATATAATCCTCAGCAATCATAATACGCTCGCAAAGTGTTTTTTGGTGCACTTACTTTTCTCATTTACACAATTGATCGCAAGCAATCCCAAAACAACATTAAACTTTTTGGATACACCTAACGTAAAATTTATTTTCTATTCATTCAATTTCTATATGGTAGAGTAATAAAAGTCTCTGTTAATCACCACGGCTCTACAAATAGTCCATAAACGTCGAGAAGAATTTCATTTATACACACATCAAAGAAGCCTAAGCAACACTAACTAATATTTCGACGCAAAGGCGTATTTTCGGTAATAACTTAAAATGTTTAGCTATTATATGTCAACAATGTTATATGAATAAAATAATAATTTTAGGTTTCTTTAAAAAATAGAATAAAATAAGATTCAATATTACAAAAAAAAAAATTGAAGTAAACTCACCTACAACATTTCTCTCGAGGCGGATGGAACTATCTTGAAAAACTCCACACTAATGCTTTAAATTCTTACATATAATATCATTATTTAGATTTCATGTCCAAATATTTTAATAGTAAATAATAGATACGTATATTTGATCTCATATGATACCTACTAAAATTACAAGGTCTTTGTTTATAAACGCTTAACACGGTTGATAATAATTGTGGTAAGTAACGGTATCGTATGGGAATTTATGTAATTTTCGTTTACGCACCATTGCCTATTTGTACGTAATAAGCATATGTGTATAATATAGAACTCTGACTTTCGAGAATGACTCTAATGCAGATTCTAAGTTAAGATTTAAAAAGCTTTAAGAACCAGCGCGATAATTTGTAAGATAACGATTTTTCTACATATAGAGAAAAAATTAATATGTGTTTATTACTCATGGATTATTTTGAAAAACAATCTTTGAGTATTTTGAGAAATAATCAATGAGTATTACACAAACTCACTTTTTATATTTATAGAAAAATGATGTATAAAGAACTTCACTTAAAAATTGTTAAGTGAAGTTCACAGCAACACACACAATTAGCAGTACTTTGATATACTTCCTATAAATACTGTAAGGTAAAATTTTACTAAAAAATTTTAAAATGCTCTTATAGTATCATTGAGCGATAGGCTCATCGACATACCCGTCAATCTCTTTTAAGAAAATCGCTTAGCAACTATTGTTTTTAAGGTAAATTAAAAATAAAAGGGGCCGGACACCGCTCCAAGCACTAAGCTTTACACTAGAACTTATAGAGAACGTGGGATAGTGCTGCAACGCAGGCCTTATTAAAAATTAATCGAGCACTTTTGCTTAGAAGCATAGGCTGTATTTAATGTATACTAGTTCTAATTGCATAGACCACTCCCATTACGCTAACTCCATTAATAAATTGATCTGTTAGATTAGTGTTACAGGTTTAGGATTAAATTAATATTCCTAGGTAGAATCTTGAAATCAATTTTATTAAAATAAACAAAAAAAGTTATTAGGTTTTACTTTACTTTTAATTTTGGCAATTGCAAAATCAAACACTAATAATAGTTAGTCCCAACGAAACAATAAGCCCACTTTTATTTTTCTTAATTCCATACTGCCACAATATGTCAATACAAAATATGATCTATCATTTGAAGTTGCATTGAATTTCATGAAATTTACTAATTGTGTAAAATTTAAAAAATGTCTGATGGTGTAAAAACAGAAGGCGGAAATACGATATTAGTTGCGTTCAAAAGCTCTTCTGATTTAAATTGATTAATTTGTCACAAAACTTTTCACCAGGGACAGGATTCAAACCTGCGCCTTCCGGATTAGAAGTTCAGACGCGCTAGCCACTAAGCTAAGCGGTCGATATCACACGAGAGTAATTATCTGATTCTTTATCATTTCGTTGTCAAACCATAAACTATTGCTTGGTTAGCCAGGGTATCAGATCCACGAAAAGTAGGCCCATCCAAGACAATACATAGTGAAGTGGAAGTATTTATTATCTTTGTTCGTTTATCTAGTAAGTGGAATAGCAGCCATATTTTAAAATACCAGCCAATCTGCAACCCGTCATGGCGACAGTTATAGTTAATTTCAATTGAACCATCTACACGATTGCCACCTCGTCAAATGATGTTTTTTTAATGTGACAAGTTGGCAAGAGAGCTGGCGGTTCGCCTGACGTTAAGTCATAATCGCCGCTCTTGCACATTTGCAACCCAAAGATTACAGATGCGTTGCCACATCTTAATAAAATGGGCTTCAGCTTCCTCTCTCACCAGAGGAAACGCAGAATTATAAAACTTCTACATAACGCCGGCCTTCGATGAGGTCGTGGTACCTCAGACGGATATGCCCATTCGTACAACAGTGGCTACTGTACAAATTTCTACCTTCCTATATCAAGCATCACACAGCACTCTTCATAATTATGTTGCTGTTGAAGGACGTCCCTCACGCAAATCGTCACTGAGATTGCTACGCCCATGCTTAAACTTGCTGAACCAATTGTAAATAGTGGCACGGAATGAGGCTTCATTATTAAAAGTCAATCGAAGTCTATCATAGCTTTATTGTAGAGTAAGACCACAACGAAAGTCGTGATAAATCATGGACAGAAAATTATTCTCGCGCTAAATTCATATTGAGGTGTAACAACACTTTTGCAATTGCCACCAAAAACAAATAAAAAATTAATGCACTATTCAAATTTTTTTAAATCAAAAGTTTTTATTTCATTTCATAATCATTCTACCTGGCCAGTTCTAAAAACTTTCAGTGTGACCAGTGCAAACAGTGTAGTTGTTAACATAAAAAAACACCAGAGACGATGTCGCCTGCATTAGCTAGTTTTCTATATTATTTACTTTAAAATAAATTAAATTATTTTTAAATTGTAAATTACTATTTACTAATTAGTGTAACTTTCTTAAATGTGAGCGGATTTATATAAGTTGAATACGAAAAAAAAATACAAAATTTTCTTTAGTCAGAATTATTAAATGCATTTTTATCACGTATCCATATTGATTTTAGTTGTTAACAAAAGTGCATGAAGCACACATATTATTTAAACTTATGGCCAAGAAGGTATCAGTTACAATGAAAAATATCCTACACTTTACGAAAAGATGAGAAAATAGACGGGCTTCGCTTTTCCCATTTGTACCTTATGGGTAGTAAAGATGGAAATAAAAATAAAACAAAGAAATTTCATTGAACGTTATTGACATCAATTGTATTTACGATGCGAATGGAAATTGTCTGGTAAGATACGCATGTATATGCTTCTAAAACGTATGTATTCTTATAAATGTTTCTCCTTAATTAATATTAATTATTTTAGACTGCTATAATTATTACCTACTTCATGAAATCGTACGTCTGATCAAGAATTTATCAGTTGGTTTTTTTTTATTTTATTACCGTTCAAGTGATTAAAAATACGGTGGCAGCTGCACTGATGAAATTAGTCGTAGAGCCGGTATGGCCAAAAGTGCTATGACTAGACTCGAAAAGATATGGAAGAACCGTGGTATTCGACGTGCAACTAAAGTGCCCCTGGTACGAGCATTGGTCATCCCTGTTTTTATGTACGGTGCCGAAGCATGGAGCATAAGAAGCCGTTATAGCAGTAAAATCGATGCGTTCGTAATGTGGTGTTGGCGTAGGATGCTCCGTATTCCTTGGACTGCCAGGAGAACCAACGACTCAATACTAAAACACCTAAACATCACGAAGCGGCTTTCTTCAATTTGCCGTGAACGGGCCCTCTGCTTTTTTGGACACATTATGCGATCTTCAAGGCACAGTCTAGAAAAGCAGATAATTACTGGTCAGATGAACGGCAGACGTGCTCAAGGCAGGGCACCGACAAGATGGGCTGACGTAGTGAAGAACGCGGTGGGCGGCAGCGTGCAACGCGCGGTTCACACCGCCTACGACCGCACACAGTGGAGGAGAACATCATGTGGTCACGATCCTCAGCATTGAGGGACCGAGCAAGAAGAGAGAAGAAGAGAGATTAAAAATAATTTACAATTACCATTAGGTCATTAAAAGTAACTGCAGTATTTGTTTTAGGTAATAATTACTCACTAATACTAGATACTATTTATACAAGACATTTAACTTCAAGACTTCTAGTTAAAAAAGAGAATTGCAGTGAGTCATTCGCTTCATAAGGAATTCACGAAAAGGGTAACTAATTAGTGCAAGTAACTGAGCTTAGAATCCAGGAACATAGACCGTAACCGGCGTCTCTGACAGTTCGTGACACATTTATATTGTAACGGAACTAATTTTATTTATTATATAAGGAAAAGAAGTGACAAACTGACAAGTGACAAGTGGTACATTCAATTTTAAAGAAATTACCATACAAAACACCCAGGGAATGCATTTTC